TTAAAAAAAAAAAGAAGTCTTAGTCCCATCTCTATAGCCACAGGTGTTAATTCTTCTACCTGTTGAATTCATCAACTGCTTTTATGGTAACGGACTTCCTCGGGTGTTTAACTTTTTGTAGGGAGGAGGGCTGCTGTGGATTGATCTGAGGCCCTGTGCAAGCCAAATGGAAGAGCTATTCTTGGGGCAGGGAGATAGCTCAGTAGAATAAGTGCTTGCCTGTGTAAAACCATGAGTTCAAACCCCGGTACCACAAAAAAAAAAAAAAAAAGGAGAGAAAGAAAAAGCTATTTTTGCTTGGAAGTTCTGTATGTGCCTCCTGATAGGTTACAGCCCAAGTACAGACTGCTAAATTATCATGGCCCTAATCCAACATGGCTCAACCCCCAAAACAACAGCTTGTGTTCCCAATGACCACTTCCTCCTTCTTCCCCACTCCAGCCTTTGATACAACCCCCTTTTACCTTTCCCACCCACACAAGGGAGCGTCCAATCAGCTCCTTGTGTGTTGCTGACCCCGCCCCTCAAGCTCCGCCCCCAACAAAAGTCCATGAAGTCTCAGGCTCCAGGTCTCAGGTGGGAGGATCTGCCCATCTCCCTGCCCTTGATCCTCTCTCTGTCTTCAGAGTTAATAAAAGCTTCCCCTCCCCCTATTTCTGCTTCTCTGCTGCACCACCACCACTGCTACCACCTTGATTTCTTAGGGCCAATGTCTACTTCAGGGGCTGGGAGATAGCTCAGCAGTATAAGTGCCTACCTGGCAAGTGCAAGGACCCGGGTTTGATCCCCAGTGCTGCATACCTTAGCAGCCCAGGAACCCTGGGCATGCCATGCTGGCCACCGAGTCCAGGCTTGGTGGTGCATGCCTGTAATCCCAGAGCTGGGGAGCCTGAGACAGGGGGGTCACTATGAGTCCAAGCTGCGTAGTGAGACCCTGTATCCAATAAATACATTTTAAAATATACTTTTAAAATATATCTACCTCAGCCCTGGCTCAAATGGGTTACATAGGTCAAAATCAACTATTATACTAGCAGATCAACCTGAGTCTTTTACTCCGTATTGCTGTTTTATTTGGCAGTTTTCATGAACATGGTTCTACTGTTACACTGGGTGTCTCTTCTTCACTTTTTCAATGCTGGCAAAAAATCCACACCCAAGGTATTTTCAATAAACTAAATATTCCATGTAAGATCACAGTTTCCTTCTTTGTTGAATTCAGTCTGTGGATAAATGACCAAAGATTTACGTACTATAGGGGGGGAAACGACACCAGGCATGTCCCGGTTCTCTACAAATCTCTTCTCACTGTTGCATTTTATGTCCATGGTTGGAACCACAATCATGTGCTTCCACTTTGCAAGCCCTTTAAAATATCTCCATTGCAGGTCCCTTAGATCCATGAATTGTTTTTCTGAAAAGAATCACATTTTCAGAGACTCAGTGACAATGTTATTTAACCTTCAGTTACACAGAGAATAAACCTTCCGTGAGTTTGCGTCTCCTTAGTGCTCTAGCCCTCATACACTAACCTAAGTGGGAGCCTGTAGTGTTCCCCTCCTCTAAAGGCTGCTTCTGAGTGGGAATAGGGCGAGTCCAGCTAGCTGGAACAAAGGGGGCCACCCCAGAGCTTGGCAGACAGCAGCAGGTCCCTTTAGTGCAAAGGCACTAGCAAGAGGTGTTAACGGGGAGACAAGCAGAGAGAGAAAAGGACCCGCAGGAAACAAGGAGCAGACTGATCACAAGTACGGAGATTAGGGCCAGCCAGAAAGCTCAGCAGACTAAAGTGTCTAATTGGGCAGGCACAGGGACCTTCCCTGCGTGCCACGCTGACCCCTGACCCCGGGGGGCACTGAGATGAATGGGCATGGTGGCATGTGCCTGTAATACCAGCACTTGGGAGGTTGAAAACAGAACAATCACTATGAGTCCAATCTGTATAGTGAGACCCTGTATTAAATACAAAAAATAAATAAACAAGTGTGGAGATTAGTTAATGCCAGTAGCTAGCATGCCCATTAGTAACACTGGTAGTGTCATTTCTCCCTTGATGTTGACATAGGGCTGAAGATAAAAAGGCCAGTATCCTGCTAGAATTTGGCTATTCTCTCTGCCTTTCCAGGATCTACCAGTTTGGAGTGTTACTTGGAATCTTACTGAAAAAACCGACTAGAGTGCAGTCTTTCTAAGGAATCAAGAAGACAAGGAAATCCCGCTGAGACACACTGCGCATGCCCTACTCGGCAGCCACACCCTGCTTCTTCACCTTTGGCTCCTTTCATGGTGAAATACTCTGTAAGCTAAAGAGCAAAGTGACAACAAAATCAAAAGGCGTGAGTCTTTGCCTTCACTAAAACTCAGGCCAAAGAGCCAGGCAGCTGAACATGAGGCACCTGAGGAGATAAGCAGCATGACAGCCAAGTCTGTTTCTCCAAAGTGACTTTTGAGCAGGAGCCCTTGGCCCAAGGATTAAGCAGACCCTGCCCTACCTAAATCAGTCCCGGGCCCCTGGGCTGGCAAAGCCCGAGTTTGCCTGGGGCAGCCTTTGTGTTTGTTCTGTACATGTAAATGACAGGTTGCGGGTTGTCCTGAGGGGAGCAGCTTGCAGCTTGCCTCTCCCATGATGCACTGCCTCGCCTCAGGCCCGGAAACGAGCCAGCTGACTATGACTTCAAATCTTTCAAGCTGTGAATGGAACTAAATCTTTCCTCTTCTAAGCTGTCTATCTCTGGGATTTTGCTGGAGATGAAACACTAATACTGTCTATTAAAAAGTCAGATATGTTGTTTGTGGCCTCTGTTGAAGGTCCTGATTGAGATGTAATAAGGAAAGAGTAAAGATTTATGAAAAGAATTCCCGCAGAAACCTTTACGTGGTGGCAAAGCTAAGATACTTTAAAAACATGATTCTTCACTGACATCATGTTACAAGAAACATGACTAGTCTTGGGTATTCTGTTGTCTGCCTTGAACTGGCTTAGTTTGTGAGGGAAAATTTAAGTGGTTTGCCTGAAGGACCCAATTTTCAGGAGCCAGCTCCTACTTGGCTTTGGAGGGTTTTTGTTTGGTTGGTGGGTTTTTTTGGTGGTGCTGGTGCGGGGAGGGAGAATCAGGAATTGCACTCAGGGCCGGATACTTGCCAGCTAGGCGCTATGCTGCTGAGTCTGGCTCGGAGGTTTTTGAGTCTCTGTTTTGCCTTTCACTGCCCCTGTAGGCAGCAGAAGCTGCAGCCAGGAACCTGAGAGCCTGCACCATTTTCATGGGTCAGTGTCTGCCGCTGCTCTGGACACCAACCTTGGTTTGCAGACTGAAGAAAGATTCCCACCCATCTTCTCCCAAGTGACCTCCTCTGTTTGGTTACCTGGGTCCACTAAGAAGTATTTGGCAAGTTTATCTGGGACCATCACCTTCAGTAGGCAGGGCCTGTCTATCACTTGGGGGTCTTGAGTCTTCTCTGTGGGAGCCTGTGGCAGAGATTCCAAGCCTTCCAGGATAATGTTGTAAGGAAAAGGGTGTGGGAGCGGCGGGATCCCACTCTCAGTTAGTCTCTTTTGAGACCTGGTGAGCCCCACCACTGGGGAGAACAAGCCCTCCAGCAAGCTGCGGTGCAGGTACTCAACCATAGATGGTGGCTTCTCAGGCTCCCTTTTTACCAGGGTGTACGAGAACACCGACTTCGGGTCCTCCCTTCTGGAGCTGGTTCTGCTGATGAGTGCCATGGTGTTCAAGCTTTTAGCAAGTAGTTTCTCTGCTTCTGTAAATGAAATGCTATGAGCTTTTAAGAGACTTGATTTCTTACTGTCCTTATTAAAATTTTCAACCAATGCATATAATTCAGGCAGCTGTGGGAGAAAAAAAAGCGAGGGAGTCATGAGATGAATGAAAACAGATTCAGGACTCCAGAAAAATAGGAAAATAACCAAGGAAACAGAAACATTTACTATTGGGAGATATTTTTACCTACCTAAACCACATCAATGGTAGCAATGTGGAATAGCGAACAGAAGGCTAAATCTGAGATCCATTCCCTGGAAGATGATTTAGACATACCTTTATCCTCTCCAGTAGGAAATAAACCAGTTATATTTTGATTTGAGAGTATTTGAGATCTTTTCCACTCTGAACTTTCTTGAGTGACCTCCGCCAGAGACAGATGCAGAAAATGGGGCAGAGAGTATGCTCCTGGCTTGCTTTGACACAATTTTTTTAAGGACAAAGGGGTACTGGCCATCCAGACAGGAAAGCTTCCTCTTTGGGTCTGAAGCTCCGGACATTCAGCAGCTGAGGGCAAGGAATTCTGGAAGAGTTGTGAATGGCTGGAGTATTTTACCAAAACCAGTGTTTATATCCACAGTATTTTTTTTTTTTCTGTATTTTAGGGAAGGGTCTACAGGGTCTTCTGGGACTTACTACTAGATCAGACTCATAGTGATTCTCCTGTTTACAGCCTCTCAAGTGCTGGGATTACAGGTGTGTGCCACCAGGTCCAGTCTCAATCACCGACTCAACATGCCCAGGGATGGGGCGGCCCAGGCCTGGGGAACAAACCCCCATACCCTATGTCTGCTTGCAGGTGCTTTAATCCCATGAGCCATTTTGCTGGCCCAAGAACAGTATTCTTTTTCCAGAGCATCTTGCCTACCTAGCCTGTCCTTCCCAAGCCACTTCTTGGACTGTTCAGACCCCAGGTGGGTTAGCGGACTGGGGATGTGGGTCAGCAGTGGTGGATTTGCCTAGCATCCCACCACCTGAGTCTGATCCTCAGCAATGAGAAAATAATAACAACAACAATGATAATAATAATAATAATAATAAT